CACAAATCTTATGATGGTAAAAATGTGTGAGAATTGAACAGACCATTGTCGTACATGGTGATATAACGGCGTAAACTGCTGAAGAAACCTCTCAGTGATATTTGTCCCCCGTATCTATTCGACGGTGGATTCGGAGATTACTGAACTGTTTGACTGTATCCATTTATTTGTGCCAACTAATTAGACAACATCCAAAAATTCTGAGGACTGCGTTCCAGAGTGCTAAGTTTCTCAAATTCCAATTAAAACTCAGGCTTTTGCCTTCGTATTCTATACTTGAAACCGTTCTGTTGGAGTTTCGCCACAAATAACTTAGAGTGAGAATGCGCCTTTGTTTCCTATTTTGTACTGTGACCAACAACGGACGATGTTTTTGAACGGAAGTCGAATTCAATATCACCGATATGCTCCAAGTTGATTCCAGTATTGCATTTGGCAGTGAATGATTTAAATTCGCATCTATTTCGGTCCTATTTGTAAAAATGCCTATGCTCCTTCCTTGCTTCCGCTCGCGGCACGTGGTTCTTGTGGTAGTAACCAATATTGGCTTCTTAAAATCACGGAACCAACAAGAACTAAATGGTCAAATATCAAGAAGTTTATCAACGCAACGAGGAGTTACAACGTCAATTTTGTATGACATAGTGCTTCTAAACGTGGGTGTATATTGGGGTTGCTTTTGTCGTCTGACGCATCGAGAATTTTCTGGAGATCAGTCGTATTTTATTGAGGAACAACATCGTAGTAAGCGAGGGCTGCGGTGACGAGGCTTGGCCCAATAAAGGTAGTAAGTCTTCATGGGCGGCGAAAGGTGCTAATTATTTCCGAAAGGAACAAAACATGTTTATATTGTTACCACTTTTGTCCGCAACTGTTTAATTTGTCTCTTCCATTCACCATAGAACAACCAGAGAAAATAATCACCAAATGTGGCTTGACATCAGAAAGTAGTGCTCCTGGAAACAACGGCTACAGGCGTATCTCCGAGGGAGAAAATAAGTTCCGTTTTCTAAGTAAACCGATTCAAATAAGAAAGTTCACACCAGAGGCAAAAATGTATGGTAAATCAGCCCAAGAGAGGTTGCTTCCTGTGTCAAGAGAGGCAATTAGCCAACAGACACAGATTTTCAACAATTAAGGCACCTGTGTTTTAGACTACACAGCCCAACAAAAGTGATTGGATGAAGTGCTGGTCAAGTACAGTGATATCACAGCACTTCGAATAACTCATATTCCACACTTAGATTGGTGTCTAGCATCTCAGAAAATATTCAAGAGAGGAGCTACATAGAATATCGATTCGAGTGAACACGCAAGTGGAACTTTTATCGTTCATTTGCGTTGGTTCACAGTAGACAAATGAAAAAAAATCAACTCCAGCATCAGGCGTGAGACGTCAAGGGCCCCTACAATGTTAAAAAAAGGGGCGTTTATAAAGTCAATACTAGATTGATGCTTTCATGCTACAAAGGACTTTGTACTTTAGGAATTTCTCGGACCGAACGTGCTTCACGGTTTACCTTGATCTGTGTTTGCCTTGTCAAAGTATTTTTCCAATAAACAGTATCAATCATAGGGTTACTGAAGCCCCGTTCTCGACACCTTATCGTCATGGACTTCCTTTCTTACCTTCGTTTCACTCGACTGGCACTGCCCCGAGTAATTAATACCTACATCCGACCAACCATGGAATACGCTATACAAGCTTGGTCACCATGGCTTCAAAAAGACATAATTCTTCTACAGCGAATATATCATCGAGCCACGAAGCTGGTAATTGGATTGCAAAATAAACCATACGAAGACAGGATTGCCAGTCTCAACCTATTTGACTTCTACTATCGGCGCATCAGGGGAGACCTAATTCTAACATATAATATACTGAAGACACCTAATCATCCGCTGGAAGACCTTTTTGTCCGACGTCGAACACGAACGGGCAGGAGGCATGACTTTTCGCTCGCGGTACCTCACTCGAGGGTGAACTGTCGACGGAACTTTTTTGCGGTCCGTGTATGTTTCATTTGGAACTCCCTACCTCCCAATGTTGTACATTCGCCGAGTTTAAACATTCTCAAGAACAATTTAGATGCACATCTTATGACCAAACCGAATCTGGAACTATTTAACTCCATGTGATACTCAGTAAACATTACGCATATTTTTGCGTCCCTTTGTGTATATACGTTCACCCTATGGTCCTTGTAAAGTTAATTGCTTTTTAGACCATTAAACCTTGAATTAATTAATTAACCTTGAATTAATTGAATTCCTCTACCCAGGAGTTACTTGAACCTGGAATGTCGGAATGTATAGTACAAACTTGGTGTATAAATTGAGAGTAGGTCGGCCTAAAATTCATATAAATGTAAGTATGGCAAAATTGCGGCAACTTTTTGACAGAAATATGCGAAGATAAATAGTGTTGGATAACTAAATTGCTGGTCGCCAGCCCACATGACCATGTCCTGATTTCAAGGATGCCTGGTGGTGCGTAAGTCGTACAATTCTGGCACGTGCATTGACGTAGGCAATGGTTTTTGCAGCAAGGTAAACATAAAATGCATATTACTTTTCTCAAACTTGCGCAAAGTTATTGGTTTGTTCTGGATTACTAAGAAGTAAGCTTGAATTTGCCAGAATAATTATCTTGACCCGAAGCTGTCCAATCACTTAACCGACTGTCGCTTGTTTTTTTGTATATGGTGTCTGTGATTTGAGTCAGTCGATCGCGAATGATTCATCACAGGAAAACTCACCCTGAGCTGCTATCGTGATTGACTTGATAGTATTTATTCCGGGGCATCTAGCACTGATTTCATTCATCTTTGCGTCGGCTTGAAAAATGTAATTTTTCAGCGGACAGCTTATCACGAACCACGTGACAAACCGGAAAACCTATCGACAATCTGATCTATTGCTCTAGTCGTTTCGAATAGAGGAATTTCAGAAATTACCGATTCCTCTGGGTAGGTGTCTAATGAGGTTGGTCAACAAAACGGGTCTGAGATCATTCAAAGTCGCCAACTGCAATTAGTCCTAAGCCAGAATGAAAAAATAGTAGCTCTGAATGGTACAGTGCAGCTCTGCACAGTATGGCATGTACTGTATTTTGTAAAACGTTTGTGAGTTTAGTAATGCCAGTGTGTAGTGGCATCTTAAGTTATCAGACCAGTCAATTCCATGGGGTTGTCAAAGATTCTGAAACAGCTCTCTTCGTCTTTGATGGCGTGACAGTCGATTGTCGCGGAGAGCGACCAATTAACTGGCGAAAAATAAAATACACATAGCTCATAATGACAGTACTCAGAACCATGCACAGGTTTCAATGAAGCATCACATTCCCTCTACCAATTGCAAACAAAGTTTAAAACAATTATTTCACTTTTTCAAAGTTTGTGTCAAGTTTGAACACCAGTCACTGGTGACAACCGGCGGTCATAAATGAGCAGATGACCGTCGCACTTGAGATAGTTTTGTAGAAAAGTCTTTTGCGGAAAAGCCAAAGCTACAATTAGAAGCTGGTCATCACTGTCAGCTGTAGTAACCGCGTACCTGCCGTCCAGTGGTTGTAGCTGCCACAGTTTCGTTTGCTGATGATTCGGGGAGGTGGGGTAGGTAGCGGCGCATTGGAGGCGGGAGCTGATAAATTAGGTCGTGGATACAGCGCTGTAGGTGGACTGTTAAGTGAGTGAATTGGGGAGCTATGCATTGAAGGCAATAGCTTGGACGCATAAGCGCCATTGAGGGCGCGACTGGGCCATGTATGACAATGTCTCTAACAGTTGATATATTGCCCCTCTCGGGGTCTCCATCCAGGAAGACGGCAATGACCAGCGCAACTGAGTTTGCTGGTGATGGCCTTAATACTTCGCTGCTAATTCATTGTTTGACCACCTCTGGCTCTCCTCCACCCTTCACGTGGTTGTGCGGAAAGAGCCCTTCGGGGAAGTCAGTCGACTGGCATATGCAGCACGTGGCCAAGCCAGCGCAACCTATGCAGTGTAATCAGGTCACCAATCAAGAATGAGTAATTTTTCCCGATTACCATTCCACGAACTTCAGCACTGCTGATCCGGTGTTCCCACCGGATTCAGGTGATAAGCTTTCTTGGTATCCACTAGTCATGGTTCAAATGTGATCAGCTAACTAGGAAGTTGATTTATGCACTTAATTTAATAATCACATGACTTTTTATGTTCAGGCCAAGTGTTATGGAAAACTTCGATAAAATGACAAACTAAAGAGGGGGCAGGACACTGTGAAGACCACTACAACTATCACAAACCAAACAATTCACCAGGAGTATTAGCCAAGGACGAACGATGTCTACCCATTTTGTTAACCCTAAACTGCTCTTTATTAGGAGGCTTTGCTCAAGGGCAGTCTAACGACACGTTTGTCGGTTTATCCTAGGGAATGCAAACACGGGACGGGCGCAAAGCGTAAACAATGTCCAACTACAGCAGCTACAGGGCTATACAAGCAAAAATTTACTAGATGAGGCAACTCCGCTGATTTCGAAATGTTCCACTGAAATAATGAAAGCAGAATATTGCAGTCGATATCCACTTTTGCACTGCTCGTGTACTAAGAGGAAACACCTGAAAGACCTTTGTAAAATTCTAGTCTGGCGGGTAAAACAATGAAGCAAATGGGCAATTTTACTGCGGTCTATTTAGTTGCCGTCGACAAAGGTAGGCTAACAAGCAATAACACTGGAGAACGCATAGGAGATTGTTTTTTCTTCTAAGGGACTGCCGTACACAAAGTGATATTTTCCTTGGATAAAATGCCGAATGTGTCCTTCGGTTAGCGCATTTGGTTTAAAGACACTACCTATGGATTCATCTTAAGTTTTCTGTCATTCTTATATCAGTGAGAATGAAAGTATCTTTTTTGACTTCCTAAGGCGTTGACCATAAAGCCAGAAATCACGTGCCAACCGTTCTCGAGTCATTTCAAAATCGCCTTTACTAATCAATCGTAAACTGGTTGACAGTAAAATAACTTCTGCTATGACCACATGATGAGGCTGACACGAAGTTAACACTATACTGTGCTTTGATGGGTAGACAGAAATAGTAGTCAGCCTATGTGATGCTCGCTGAACTCTATTTTTTCTGACCAATATTCAGAAAGAGATCAAGTCGACCTAAACAACAAGGAGAAAGAGGTAGGTTTAGCACTTAACAATCGTAAAACGCATAAGCCAAATTTGAATCCACGGGTTCGGATTTTCTCATTAGGGTGTGACAGGTACTCCAAAACCAAGTGTGCTTTTAAAGTGGAACATTTTCATCGCATTATATTAAACCGGCTTGACTCGACTGAGAGATTCTCTGTGCTTATGTATGTGCTTAGTATGTCGAATTTGGTGTGCCGAACTGGACGCGTGCAATTTGTCTTGGTAGCCTGACAGCTAAATCGCCCTGGGAAGCGAGAAACTTTAAGACTTGTCACCACTATCACCTCTATCATGCTTTGTGAACCTTTCGGGTGGCAAACTTTGTGTAATTTTGAGTGCCAAATTAACACGACCGGGCATCTTGTTATTAGTTGGGTGGAATTCGTTCTTTAGAAGTGGCATTCCATCAGTATTATTAGTCTGAAACGAAGCCAAAGATCGCTATATCCACCATCACCACCAGTTTAAAAAGAACATCGGTCCAAAACGCTGATGTTTCGCTGTCGTACAACTTTAAGCTAACTGAAAACCTCATAGTAAAGAAATAATACCAGTGGATGCAGAAGGGACTTGGTAATAGGCTACCACAATCGATCCAAGGCACCGACAACCCCAGACACTCTTTCAGCTAATCTGGCCCACCTTATGGTTAGGTATTCTTGACCGCAGTAACGATATTGCTCTCAGCTTAGTTCTCGGTCTAAGCCTCCCAAGCTAGCGTTCACATCAAAACAACCACCAAAGGTGC